GGTCAAAAAGGTATGAATCAAGGGGGGGATTATATATCAATGAAAGAATTTTACTTTTCAAAAGATCAGAGCGAACTAGAGGGGTAGGGGTCAGCAGGGAGAAAAATGCAACAATGAATGAATGCAAATCCAAAGTCTCTGTAAATGTTCATTAAAATTAATAATATATTTTTAAAATCAGCCAAAAAAAGGGTATGAATCAGATTTGAAAGTGACTGATAGGGTGGGGTCACATGTTGTTGTTGTTGTTATGTGCCGTCGGGGTCGCCTGCGACTCATAGCGACCCTATGTACAACAGCCCTAAACTCCGCTCTGTCCTGTGCCAATCACACTGTCTCTGACACTCCCATCCCAATTATCCCAGTCACTGAATCAATCCACCTCATAGAGGGCCTTCCTCTCCTGCGCTGTCCCTCCACCCTCCCAAGCATGATGTCCCTCTCCAAGGACTGGTCTCTCCTCACAACATGTCCAAAGTATGTTAGATAGAGCCTCAGAATCCTTGCCTCCAAGGAGCCACCCGGTTTAACCCTTTCCAGCACAAATCTGTTTGTTTTCCTAGCAGTCCATGGTATTCTCAATACTCTTCTCCAGCACCACAGCTCAAAGGCATCAATTCTCCTTCTATCCTCCTTGGTCACTGTCCAACTCTCAGATGCAAAACAAGTGATTGTGAAGACCATGGCCTGTATCAGACGCACCTTAGTCTCCAGAGAGACACCATTGCTCTTCAGTACTTTGGAGAGGTCCCTAACAGCAGACTTTCCCATGGCAATGCACCTTTTAATTTCCTGGCTGCTGGTGCCAAGACTGTTGACTATGGAGCCAAGCAAACTAAAGCTGTGTACAATCTCAATCTCTTCACCATCCATCCACATAGTAATTGCTATAAGTCCTGTAACTGTACAAAAAGATGAGTAGGCAAAAGTTGTGTGACATACTTAGAAAAAAATAAGTCTGCTTATGTACCACCTCATGGGACTTGGTTTTTAAGAGGTTTAGGGCCAGCTTCAAAGGACATCTTAGCTAATTAGACTAATTTAGTGCTTCTGATCAACAGCTATCTCTGTTCACCTGGAGCTAACAGAAGAGTCAATAGGATATGGAGTGGGTGGCTTCTGTGAACAACTGAGTTATTTACCTTGAGACCAGGACTGGTGGTGGCTGGATATGTACTATAACTGACAATTTTGCCAACTTCACAGAAAAATCTTGATCAGATATGGGGAAATGCAGACAGAATTTCAAATTCTCACCACCTATAGATACCTAGAGTATGGAAGGAAGGTGGATGAACCCAAAACTATCGCTGAGATCTTCTCAGCCTTAAAAAAAATTACAAGGCATTCTTGCCCTCAGGCCTGTCTTTCATTGTTTTTGTTCAGACATTCCTCTAGGTCGTATAGCCCTGGTGTACAAGTTGCTGTACCACGGTGACTTGTGGTTGCTGTGAGGCTGAACACTGTGACACTGGTGTGTCAAATGCGTTAATGGCTGGTTATCCAATGTGGATAGAGAGCTCCCTGATTAAAACAAGCTTGGGAGGAGGAGTGGCACTTCCATAATAGCTTGCCTCCGGAAACCCTATGAACCTGGAGAGAGGAAAAAAGGAACCCAAGAGTTGAGGACTCTCCTTCATAGGGTCACTGAGTCACCTGCGACTCGAGGGCACTTAACAAGGCATCTTAAAACCAATGAGTAGCTTAACTAGAAAATAGTCTGCCCAGAGCATTATATTCTTTCAACTCTATATATGGGATCAATTTGAAAGAATAAATTGGTAACTTAAAAGGCATTAAGTTTACCTTAACAAGGGTACAGAAAGATGGGTAGTCAACTCCTGTGCGATTTGCTGCCTCTGAAAACCCACGGAGGTCAGCTATGAGTCCATTTCAACTTGCCGGCACAAGGGTGGAGAAACTCAGGAGGGTGAGAAAGGCTGTACAATTCAAAGGATATTATCAGTGTTGCTCTAACGCATGACTTGAATTGGTGAATACTTTGCTGTGTATAGTCTCAACAAATAAAACTTAGTAGGGAAAATGGAAGCAGGAATGGCATCCACTTCCTAAACATGCCTCCAGAAACTCTATGAACTTTGATAAAATGTCAGTAGTTGTAAAGGGGCTTCAAGCCTTTTGTTCATAG